TTCTGAATCTTACCCTCCTGGCAATTACGGCATTTTCACAAACCTGAAGCGTTCACCTTTCTGAGCTATTACCGCTTTATATCACGTAACAAAGTAGCTCTTCCATAGCCCATTACCCCTGGAAAAATCTGGCAAATTCTCGAAGGAGCAGGCATAAGCACTTAGCGTTTCCCTTTCCATGTTACCCGTTTCAACGCCAAACATAATTAAGTTATAAAAATTACGGAGTTTAGTGCCTTTTAAAATTTATCACGTTATATCTTCGGCTGAAAACAGTAAATTAATTAAGGAGTCGAGCACGAAACAAGAAACCGGCCGCTGCCAGACGGCGTGACACATTTCGCTCTACAAAGTTGAGTTAAAGCTTGCTTATTTGCTGCTTAATGAATTCGCTGTGCGTCCAGTTCATGTTTGATTTCGAAATAACTTCGTCCGCTTCATAGAAAATTATTCATCAACGGTCGTGGTTTGGCGTCAAAGACATGATACTGAGTCGAATACAAGACCCTGGAAAGCATAGTTGTAAGAGTTGGTCTTAATTCCATTTTTTTGGAAACAAAGGTCTATTAAGAGTTATGTTAGTTAAGCAGAAACTGCTACCAAAAATTTAATGAAATGGACTTGGTTGTGGAAAATGAAACTGAACGAATTGAACTAGATCTACGCAAAGATTGACAAGTTCTTGTAAAATTAGAGTTAATTGCACCATCGTACCAATGAAGTCAAATGCTAAGTACTTAGGTATGACCCTTGACTCCAGACTCAAACGGCTATGCTGATATCGAACGACAAGGGCACCCGTCTTACGGTCTCATGCCTGATCAACAGAAAAAAAATATCCTAAATAAAATCAACAAAATATTACTATTTTTAATGTGCTAAAACCGGAATGAAACTTATTTTTTCAATATTAGTTCAAGTTTTAGAGATACGGTAATTATATGTGTTCCTGCTGTGACAGTGTTAATATACTGTAATTCATAAGAATGCACGTGCTACATTTTTATATTCGGCAAGGAAAGATGATGTAATCGGCATGATTGTGTTACGTTATACATACGTGTACATTATATTGTTTTATATTAGCCATTTTTTCCTCATTTGGCTGACAGCGTTCATGCAAGATGACTCGAAAGTGTGTAAACAATCCAGATCAGTTTTGTTGCGTGTGTGGTGATGTGACTTTTGCGTCTCAGAGACGGTCTATTACTCTACTAATAACAAAGGCATATCAGCTTTATTTCGGTTGTAAACTAGGTGATCAAGACAAACAGTGGTCACCCCACATCTGCTGTAATACATGTGCTTCAAGTCTGACGAGCTGGTTAAATGGCAATAAACGGTCTATGCGCTTTGCTGTCCCAATGGTTTGGAGAGAGCCTACAAATCATATTAATGATTGTTACTTTTGCATGGTACCTCGTGTTGGACAAGCCACAGGTATGTCCAAGAAAAAAAAATGGATTATTAACTACCCAAACATACCATCTGCGATGAGACCTGTGCCTCACAGTGACGAAAATCCTATTCCAAAACCCCCAGAATCCTACACTTGCGAATCAGAAAACGAATCAGATCATGGCGGTCGAGTGATTCGTCAGGAAGAAGATATGCCATCAACGTCAAGAGATCCTGATTTTATACCGAGCACGTCATGCCACCAACCGCACAAAATAACACAGTCAGAATTAAATGATCTTGTAAGAGATTTAGAACTTCCAAAATGTAAGGCAGAGTTACTTGGATCAAGACTGCAGCAGTGGAACTTGTTAGAAGACGATGTTTCGGTATGTGTTTTTCGTAAACGCCACAAAGACTTAGCCTTTTTCAATATGGAGAATAACTTGGTTTTCTGCAGTAACATTAACGGCTTACTGGCGGCTTTAAATATAAACTATAACCCAGAAGAATGGAGATTGTTTATAGACAGTTCAACATTGAGTTTAAAGGCAGTGTTATTGCATATTGGAAATATTTTACCATCTCTTCCTGTAGGGTATGCAGTTCACATGAAAGAATCATATGACAATATGAAGTACCTATTGATATGCATAAAATACGATGAGCACCAATGGCATATTTGTGGCGATTTGAAAGTTGTTGCACTTTTACTTGGGCTGCAGCTAGGCTACACAAAGTTTTGCTGTTTTTTGTGTGAATGGGACAGTCGCGCAAAGGCACTTCATTACACCAGACAAAACTGGCCTGTTCGTCAATTCCTAGAGCCAGGTCAAAAAAATGTACAGCATATGCCATTAGTAGATTCGAAAAAAATTTTAATACCACCACTGCATATCAAGTTGGGCCTAATGAAAAACTTTGTCAAGGCATTAGATAGAGATGGGTCAGCTTTTCAATACCTGCGTCAGAAATTTCCAAGACTGAGTGAGACAAAGGTTAAAGAAGGTATTTTTGTTGGGCCACAGATTCGAAATATTTTGAAAAATACACAGTTTGGAAACACTTTAACAGGTATTGAAAAAACTGCTTGGAATGATTTCCGTCTGGTGGTCACTAATTTCTTGGGAAATAGAAAAGCTGACAACTATAAAACCCTTGTCAAAAATATGCTGTCATCGTATCAAAAGATGGGCTGTAATATGTCTCTTAAGATACATTTCCTACACTCACACCTGGACTTTTTTCATGACAATTGCAGAGCCGTAGGTGATGAGCACGGCGAACGTGTTCATCAGGATATTTCAACAATGGAAGAAAGGTACCAGGGAAAGTGGAATCCTTCCATGCTTGCAGACTACTGTTGGACTCTTGGTAGGGATGCTCCAGAAACGATCCATAAAAGAACAGCAAAAATACAGCGCATATAATGGATTCTTATAAGTATATGAATCTTGTTACTTTTTTAATATATCCTTAAAAATAAAAAGTTTTTTTTCTAAACCGCAACTATTTTTTTATTTCATTGTCATTTTTGGATTCAGCGCCCCAAAATTAACAAAGAAGTGCACTTTTCCCACAAGATACAATTAAAAAACTAAAATTTGTTGTCCAGTGTAATTTTTCCTGTTTTAATCACCTGAATGTTACACCACTGACTTCTCAACCCCTTCAGGCGGCAAAGGGTTACCGTTGTTCATGGTAATGTTGAATATATGCTGCGTTTTGTAGGGTTTTAAGGTACACGAGTTTCTGTTCCATATTTTCATTTTGCCTGCAGTGAAGGTGTACACGGGATAATGGAGAAATACAACTTACAGCAACACGGCGTAACTACACGTTATGGGACTTGAGCGGGTTAACATCAGCCGATCCTACGTTTTTCCTGCCTCATGCAATCCGGGCCACTTCACGAAGTGGATGAAGTTATTTGTCACTAAGGCGCTTATTAATATTGTTGAAAACCAATTAATATTTTTAAGTACGTTACATTTCTTCCATACGTCCATCCAAAGATAGCCAACGATGGAAAGCATATTCAAAACAGTAAAAAATTTGTAGATACATATGCATATATATCTTTTGTTCAAATTGATTTACGTTCAATAATAATAATAATTTTTATTCAAACTACTTTGCGGTTATCAAACGTCAACATTAATAGGTCAGATTTACATAAGCAAAAGAAAAATACTTACATGTCAAAATTAGAATAAAATTGATGATGATTTATAAAATAAGTAGTAAAAACAGTGTGTTTGTTTAGAATTATAAATAGTTAATCAAAAGAATATAAAAGGTATGCAGCATAAATGTATAAGTAAAATAATCAATAAAATTGATAAACACTTATGTAATTATTAAAAACACTTTGGGTACAAGTCTGTATTTTAAGTATCTCAGCAAAAAAAATGCTGAATTAATTTTTTTTAGCTTAAGACATATGATTTTTTCAGCTCAAATGTCTATCCACTATTAGGCTTAAACATTTTATGTTTGGTGGTCTTTCCAGTAACTTATTGTTTATTGAAACTGGGATGCTGTTCTGCGGGCTTCGTTTTATTTAATACCACCTACTTTTGAAAACTTTGCACTATGACGTTAGTCTTACTTTCTTGATCCTCGAGCGACGTTGCTGATAATGTTATACTTGTGTCATCTGCAAAGGAGACAAAGACAAGCCCTATATACTCCCTTTAAAATAGATAACACTTTTTTCAAATATCTAATACTACCAAACGCACAGGAAAGAAGACGATAAAAACTATATATACAGTACTTTTTCCCAGAGAAAAGTGAAAAGTAAATCTTGCTAGATTGACCATATGACAAAGCTAGAGATGTTGCATAGGCAAATATAGAGATGTGCGGACTTTAAATGACGTATCGTCATCATTTTGATGAGTTACATGAGCGCAGACAAAAGGAAAGGCTGTTTGAAACTTCAACAACTTGTTGTTTTGCATAGTTATTAATGAAATTCCAACAAAAAATGTATGGACCTTAAATAATTGAAAAAAAAATAGATTGTATATTTTCAATCGGGATTGGGTAAACAAGATCGATTAACTATAATTACTATATTTGTTATGTAAGGTAGAAGACCTGTCTAAGGGATATATATTTTTTTGAGTAAAACTTTTACGGTCTGCAAAAAATATTGTATCACTTTTTTTGGTCTAGTAGAAGAAATACCAAGACCTCAAAATAAGTGTCGATCAGCCTATTCAATATGTCATACCATATCCTGGCAGAAACGTTGTTTTGTGTTTTCCTAATAAGAAAGGAGAAGGTCATTCATGACTTTAACCAAGCCATTGTCCGTCTATAGAAAGGATTACCACCTCCGTGAGCTGATGAACACGCTGAAATCCCACCACCTCAACATCGAAATCCCCATCCATTTCCTTGCGCCCCTTTTACTCCTTCCTACCCCCCAAAAAGCCCCCTTCAGCGTCCAGCCATAGTGGTAATCCCAGAGAAGGTCTCTGTAAAGTGGCGGATATTAATTTGGACAAGGTCCAGCGGCTTTATGAATAATAATTAGTGTTCGCAACAGGGCGTTAGGACTGCGGTTTTGCGGCGTCTCGATGCCATATTACCAGCTGGAGATTTGGTATTATAAGCGGAGGATAGATTCAGTGGCCATCTTTTATCCATTTTGCATACCCCGTACTACACTCCAAAAGTCATCTACTGGTACCCGATTGTTATTAATAGTAATATTTATTGGCGTTGTATATGCACCAGCATTTACACAAGTCAAAAAGAGAAAAGTAGTTAGACTTAAAATACATATAAAATATGAGGATAAAGAAACATTAGTAACAAACACAAAACATATCACTAAAATCGTTCTCCATAAAATCGGATAGATTGTGAATAAACTTTTACTAACTTTGGTGATCGAGCTATTGACGTGCTCTTCCTAGTTCACGCATCTGCCCAGATTAAAGTCAAGTGAAAATGCTTTGTTTGTATTTTGCCTTTGTTTAAAGCTAGTCTATTTGGATATAAGCAGTTTCTTGGCTAAGGTTTTCAAGTTTTCTTCCACTGCAGTTAGACGTAGTGTCATGAGCATATAGCACGTTGAGTGTTGTATTTGAAGATGTCATTAATGAAAATTACGAACAAAGTGAGGCCCAGAATGGAACCCTGGGGTACCCCTAACCTAACCGCCTGAATGTTTGACTTCCCTTTGTCTCGTGCTACATACTGTGATCTATCATTTAGTTGAAGATTGTTATTGTCAGAAACAAGTCTGGGCAGTTTTTCCACCAGTACAACATGAGAAACACGGTGAAGAGGTAAAAAAAGTTGCTCTAGCGGTGTTTCTCTTATTGAAGGACTCATAAATGAAAAACACAACAACGAACATAAACACAGCCACAATCACAAGCACAACCATAACAACAACCACAAATACATACATAAACACAAACACCAGCACAAATGGAAACACAAACGCAAATGCAAATGCAAACATAAACACAAACACAACCACAAACACAACAACAAATACAAACACAGCCACAACCATTAGCACAAAGACAACCACAACAACAACCACAAACATAAATACAAACACAATCACAAACAAAAACACAAGCACAAACACAAATAGAAACACAAACGCAAATATAAACACAACCACAATCACAACCTCAACCACAACCAGAAACACAGACACAAATACAAGCACAACCACAATCACGAACACGAACGCGAACGCAAACGGAAATCCGAAAACAAACACAACCATAGCCATGCTTGGAGTGTAATTAATTGATTTCGTGACGTAATATTATATAGCGTAGTATAGAAGCATGTATCAAGATCGATTAACAAACATTGTAGACAAGCAGAGCTGCAAAGAAATGAGCCTACCGTGTACGGACACGCCTACTGCTGAGGGTTTCTTTTAATGAAAAGTTCAAATAGTGTATTGCTTGTTCTGACAAAACCTACCTTTTTACGTCTTGAAAAAAACTTGGCTTTTCTCGGTGATCTGGATGCCAACCAGCCGGAATGAAGGTAACAATGTCGATCCTTGGGGCACACCCGCGTTGATTCGTGGGATGAAGAGAAAAAAGTGAATCTACCTTATCTCTTAATAAATATAAGTTTATTTTCACACATTTTGTATCTAATGAACATATCTAGCTTTCAATCTCATTTTTGACGAAAATATACATGCATTTGCTATGTTATTGAATTGCAAAATAGCCCTACAGATATATTCGACTACTTATATCCATAGTCTAGACTAACTCATGTATGCTTCAACAAAATGACTAAGTTTACAACACTAAATAAGTAACGAACATGGCAATGATGAAGGTACCGAACACAACTATAACTTGTCGTATAATTTCAGAAATTTATTTATTCTGTAACTCAGTACGCTATTGGTCCTCAATACCTGTGACTCAATTTGCTAACCGAGTGATGTTTGGGGCAGCATACCGCCCTAGGCTTACGCTCCACCTTTCAGTGATGACGAAAGCCCAGGAGTAAGGCAGATCTACATTTCAACCAACGCTATTACTCATTACTAACTGGACCGTTTAGCATCATCAGAATTACTTGCATATATGCATAAGGACTGAGCTACGGTCGGTGTAGTTACATTTGGGAGATGTGTATACCGTGGAACGGTGCCTTAGGGGTAGAATAAGGGTTTGGTTTGGAATGGACGTTCTTGTCCTTGTTGAATATTCATTCTTTAGCTGAATTACTTACTTTCCAAAGCTACTCAACTGTTTTTTCAAAGGTAACAGGATGCTCCGTTTGTTGACTACGGTCCCCTAGAAAAAAATGAGTTGTTTGCACTCTTATAAAATTTCATCAACATACTGGCTGTTATACTCCAGATTCCAAAATTCATCAACCAACAAAAAAAAATGTGTTTTAAATAAGAACGATTTTGATTATTATAATAATAAATAAAATTTGTGGTTACGGAAAACTTACCGCACGAAAAAGACGTTAATTTCTATTTTCGGCGGGAATTTAAAAGATGACAGCAATAAACCGTCATATTTGTCAAAGCCGTCATGTTTTGTGGATGCTATATTGTTGTCAAAATGTGCTCCGGCAACACCGCTTTTTTTCCCATTCTCCCACACGCGCCACCATGAGCTTGTGCTGCTCTTGTCAATTGTCAAAAGTGTCGTATTTTACAGCTTTGATGTTTCTCTTTGCATGCAATAGCTTTTTGCAACCATCTTGTTCAAGGGTTTTTTCTTATCTTCTTCGAAAATCGATAGACACACCACGGAAAAGAACAAAGAAATGAAAACATCTATGACAGCACAAGCCACGAAGTGACAGATGTTTTATGTTTTTCGGGTGCAATTTAGGATAAGCTAATTCAGAGCGGAAAATGCACCAGTTTAAAAAAAAGACGCTATTAGCATTTTGACTTTTGTGGTTATGGTCATGATTAAGGTTTCCTGGTTTTTCCTATTTTTTTTTTTTTGGTCCAAATGAATTTCACATTTTGAACTTTTCGCTTGGTCAGGGTCACCGTATCGTAACTCAGCGGACCATAAATGCCTGGATGTGGCATCGACAAGCGAGCGAGTGCTCATATTTGTTTTAACGCAGAAGTTTGAATGCATAATAGTTGCATTTGAAATCAATCAACACGATTTCTGTATGCAAATCTATGTGTCTCAGCGATTTTATGCACATATTTTCTCAGTTTTTGAAAACAATTTGCAATGGTGAGTTTAAATTGGAGTTGCAATGATTAATTTTTTCGTGAGAATCTGTTGTTATTACATCTTTTATACCACTATATGTCTTACAATTCAACATAAATCAAAATGATGAAGTATTAGACTTCCAAAATAAATTCTCGATTAAAAGAAAAACGTGAGGTGTGTTAGCACTGTCTCGTTTCAACTTTTTCTCGAAATATGGTTGGTTGCCAAAATAATTTATAATATTCACAAGTTTTTTCTTTACTTTCCAGTACCCTTTGTAGGAGGTTTACGTTCCACCACTGACTCTCACTCACTCCTCATCCTAACGTCCTACCCCCCACCCTCCTCGATGAATATTTAGTGTTTGCTTACTGCCTTCCTGATTAGCTGTGCGATAGTGCAATATTCAAATGGCCTGCAAAATATACTCAATATTGATGGCCCTAAATGGCTTTCTGTCTGAGTACGAAAGAACCGCAATGGCTTCCAAAGCTCAATTATTACCGAGCCAATTCGTCAAATTGCATACCGAAATTGTGGAGAAACGGTGAAACTCCAATCCCGTTCTCGGGGTCTCATCAAGATCATCATTGGTATGCTACATCATATGTTGAAAAACGCGATAGAGTGAAAAGACATACAGAAAATAAATAAGTAAATAAGTATAGACAAACGTTGAAATATAACATAAATTGGACAAACACTGAAAAAACGTGGTAGACACAGATTAAAAAAATGCTGTGTTTAAAGTATATAAATAAAATAGATGAGATCAAAAAACCTAGAAAATAAAAATGAATAAGAAAGGTAACTGTTGAAATTGAGACATGGGATATCACAGTGGTGGCTATCATAACCCATATTATCAGAATTACACATATTCACCATTTATGAGGTTATCTGACAATTATCCATCCAAAGAGTGATAAGCTTTCTTTTTAATAGTACTTTTCCCAATTCTACCAGCCTCGGTGTAAAAAATAGTCACAATGTTATCAGATCGACTTAAACCAATACAATACTAAAATATTGAACTCTATAAGTATAAACGTCCATGACAGAGTTCCTTTCATGTAACATCCACTGGGGTTTTTGTGCTATTTCAAATATGAGTAGTTTGATGACTAAGGTATGAAATGCCTAACTATAAAAATAGCGAGGCAGTACGAGACAGCATGTGTTGTAAGCAGTAGTATATAGCAAATATCATCATACCTTTTATTGTAGGGGGAGCCTTGTTGCGATCAAAAACATTGTAAATCGCGTACGAGGACCTATAGACAAGAAAGAGACAAGCTGTAAATAACAGGTTTTTGAGAAAAGTAGTACCAACTTAATGAACGGTTTTATGTCCAGACAATTGCCGCAGGAGATATCGGGGTGTCGTTAAAAATGCACTTTTACTGCCACCATAGAATTTTCATTGGCGTTGTTAAGTTGTAAGACGGTTTTGTTAATAGATAAACAAAGATGCGTTGGATGTATCGGTATCTACGCATTATCAGTAGCTTTAGAGACGATATTTCAGTGTTTTATGGTGCGTGGGATCGACGAGGTAGAAACACTGATGTTGTAAACGTCCTTTATGTGCTCCTCCAGAACATTTTCAATGTGTCACACAGAAAGGAGGCTAAAGTTAGCTCAGTTGGAGGTACGAGGCTCAAAGTGTGACAAAAGTTGATGAGATGGCAAAGGAGAGAACAGAACAGAACCCGTTAAACTGTGACAAGTTTTATCATCCAAAAACATTTCCATCACAATATGAATTAAACACATATTTTAAGTTATAATTATGTTATTTCGAGATTAAAAATCCGGACAGTTATAATGCAATAAAATTGCAGCTTAACTTTGAAACTTTCTTAACGATGGAGGGATCGCAGATCTTAAACGGTCAGAACCAATCGCAGATGTGAGCAAAGCGTTTCAGTGAGGGCCAAAGGAAAGGAC